CGTCCCCCGTCCCCCGCGCCGTGCGCCGCCGCCCCGCGGCTTCCAGTCCGCATCATCGTCTCCCCGGCCTGGTGCATTCGCTTCTAGCTCATCTCTTCGCTTCCATTTTTGTTTTTCGCTACTGAAAACGTCAGCGGACCCTGTTTTTCTTGCTTGAAACCCTCGACTGGCCCTGTGGTACTAGAACAAAATCGAGGCTGTTGTAACGGCCTGGAGGACAGGGCTAGTGGAACCCCGCCTGCCCTTGCGGGCTGGGCATAAGCTACGGCCCGTCGCACCCAGCCCGCACGGCTGTCCTGCGTGTGCGGCGCTATTTCCGCTTCTGATCACCTCCTCGCGAGGCCCTGGAGTCTGCTCACCTCTGTTCTGTGCAAAGCTTTCTCCCTCTCTGCTTAAATATCGTCTCAGAGTGATCTTTCGTAATTCTAGTCCTTTCTTCACTCTCTGCCTAGACTCTTGCTTGTTGTCATAGCACTTTCCAAAACGTGGCGTTATTTGGCTTCTTATTTCTCTGTTGTCCCCGGAGCACGGGGACCAGGGTTGCCTTTTGGTCATTCTCTTGGTAGCATCTAGCGCAGTACCTGCCACTCGCGTAGTACAAGCTCAGTGTTTACTGAGTGCATGACTAACCTCGGCCAGGATTCACGTGCTGCACCTATGCTTGAATCCTGTAGCTTGCTACAGGTAACTGCAGTGGGTAGTATGAAGCTGCAGGCTTAAATATGAATATGAAAAGTGTGTAAGAGATTTGACTCCCCGTTAGCTTAGAACGTGGATGATCTGTAGCCTCATGTGTAACTGCACTCTTTCTTTTCAGGAGGTACAGAAACATTCTGTGCACACACTTGTGTTCAGGTCATTGAAAAGGACCCATGACATGTTTGTAGCTGACAATGGGAAACCTGTGCCTTTGGATGAGGAGAGGTAGGCCAAGTTCTTTTTCAACTGCTAAATTTAAAAAATTCTGATACTGAGGGAGGAGAGCAGAAAGAGGGAAATCTTTAAAGGTTTTGAAAATAATACACAGAGGTTATTTCTTCAATAATGAGTGGTGTTCTGGCATAATTTAAACTAATTTAACTTTTTTGCCTTGTCTTTTCCAGTAAAATAGCCCATTCATGAATTGCATTTTACAAATGTCCAGTAATTAGGAGAGTCCCTTTTAGGTATTTTCTCTTATAGTCAATCACTTTGTATGTGCTTTCAGCTTCCCGCTGCTCTCAGAGCCTCACTGAGCTGAAATTGTACCTGACCACTACTTCTACTCCCACCTTTTCTCCTTAGTATGATGAAGATTTTTGAGCTTTGCCATATTTTTGGTTCTACATACATAGCTCCAGTCTGGGATTGAATTATGTGCCTTGTTCCTTCTTTCTCCGTACCCTCCCTTTAAAATCTACTGACTTCCACAAATGAGCATTTATATGTCATTTATAAGGTAGACTGTTCTTAAAAGTGGTTTAAGTGCATTTCTTTTTACAATATGGAATTGCATAAGTACTTTAGTTCTAACTGGCTTTTTTAGATACATCTGGTAAAGGCTGCTATAGAAGTTTTTACTATATATATGAGGACATTTAAATGAAATACACTGATTTTGAGATTTTTTTTAAAGGAATGTATTAGTTTCTATGTTTTTAAATCAATCGAACCCTTGGGAACTCATCATGAAAGGTTTTTATATTAGGTGACAAGCTAAAATATGTTAGGCATAATGAATGCTCTGGTAGTATTTGAGCAAAAATATATATGCTGTAGAAATGCACTTGAAAGTTTTTTGATTTCCTAAAATACTATTTAATTTTAAAATCTTACTAGAAGCATTTTGTACGTGACTGGGAAAACTTAAGCTATTTAATTACTTGTTTCCTTGCTGTCTGTAAGCATTTGCACTAGTGAATATGCCGAGAGTATTTATGGGTACCTCTTGTGTTTATAATTTTTAAATAGTCACAAACGAAAAATGGCAATCAAGCTTCGTAATGAGTATGGTCCTGTGTTGCATATGCCTACTTCAAAAGAAAACCTGAAGGAGAAGGGCCCTCAGAATACGGCGGATTCATACAGTCAGAAACAGTATCCTGCCAATCAAGGTAGGTATACGGCCACTGAGAAATGCCAGGGTTTATATGCAAATTCTTAAAATAGAGAAGAAAAATGTCTTATTAAGTGCCATTAAGTTCCGGGAAGGATGAACCGAGGTCTTAAAGTCTTTTATGACTATACCAGTGTTACAGTGGAAGTCTTGAGTTGCTCACAGGAGTAGGAACTGAAATACTGTAATTGGTTGTGACTTCTGTCTTACTGGAAGTGAAGTGTAATAGTATTAGGATGTGGGGGTCACCATGGAGACTAAAGGAGAAATTTGGAGAACGTTTCTAACCCGTGGGGAGACCTACCATGGCTATAATTCGCAAGGTAAAACTCAGTACCGCAGTTACAATGCATAGAGACTACAAGGTTTCATACGACCTGTTTTCTTAGAAGAAAAACCAGAGTGGATTGTTGCTTGAGAGGAACGTCTTTACACACACCATCGCTGTACAGGAGTAGATTCATCATCTTCTCACCTTTGACCACTTAATGGGCAAAGAAATTGCTGTGTACACAGTTTGTAAGGTCAGAACAAAACAGCTTTCTGCATTGCTGAGGCTTGAATTTAGTTGGGAAAGAGAAATGCAGCTTATAATGTTATTTGATACATTTAAAAAGATACTTGAATGTAAGATAAATTCTCTATGAACTTATTTATTTTAGGACAAGAAGTTGAATATGTAGTGACAGGGACACATCCATATCCACCAGGACCTGGTAAGTGAGCTGTTACATCCTGAAAAGATCTTACTTTCTTGGCTCCAGTTCGTTTAAGGCTGCTGCAGGCCTTGTTGAGTGTGTTATCTGGGTAGTTACGGCAGGCATACAGCTACCTAAGCTATAGAAGTGTTAGTTTAGCAACAGGTAAGGTTGAAGTGTGTTGTGTGTATGTATGTGGCTGTCTGTCTGTCTGTGCATGGTTTGGTACAGAAATGGTGCGGCCAGTCTAGCAGGTTGGAAAACAAAAGGTTTAGTGTTCATAGAAAATGTAGGGAAATGGGTGCTTTTGGGTTGTAGTAACATTCACTATGGGAAACATTCTGTTAGTATTTGAGTACCACATTTTTGCTTTTGAAGATATGTCTGAATTTAATAGAAACTGTATCTTGGCCACTTTAATACCAGGCCACCCTAATCAGATCAGATTATGAAGCAGTATTTATTATAAAAAATTAGAAACAGAAACAAGCAAGCTTTAATTAAATTATTATAATCTCACCACCTGGAGGTAGCCGTGTGTTGTTTTCTGTTCGTACTTTATTGTAAATGCACGTACGTGAGAGTGAGGACAGCTAATAGGAACGGCTTCACTTAACAGGCGTGGCTTTGACAGCAGACACCAAAGTCCAGAGAATGCCGAGTGAATCCGCCGCACAGTCCTTGGCCGTGGCGTTGCCTTCTTCTCAGGCCAGGTATGAAACAGAATGAACTGGAAAGACCTTGGAAGTGCATTTCACCATTTGTGTTTTTTGCATTTTTAAATTTGTTCCTTACAGCTGTGCGTTATATAGTGTTTTTACTTGGATTTTCAAAGATTGAGGGCTAGGCTTTTCGTAGTGCATGCCTGGAAGCATCACTTACTCACCACGGGGTGTTTCTTTGACCTCAGGGCTGATGCGAACCGTACTGCGTCTGGTGGGGGTGAGTACCGACACCCTGGGGCCTCTGAGCGCACTCAGCCGGCAGGGGTCAATTCGGTAAGTTGCCTGGGTCTCGTAGCACTGCAGCCGTCTGCCTCTTGAAGTACGTCACCTCGTTCTTTCATCCAAAAGTTTCACCTTAAATAGTCAAGAAGTGATCACTTTCTTGGAATTTGTGAGTGTAAACTGCAGCTTAAAGCTTAAGGCTTTAGTAAATTAGTGTAGTTTTTTGTTATTTCTGTGTCTGTTTACACGTTGTACATAGTATATATTTTGATGAAAATAATGTGATGTTGACATTTACTCTCCATTATTAAAACTACAAGGAGTGTTTTCTGAACCTCATGTAAGGATGTGTTAGCTGTGTAAATCTTGCATTGAACCGTAAGTTGGTGTGTAGGTACAGCTGAGTGCTGTTCGCATGGTAGCATCCATGGGGTATACACCAGTGTCTTCAGGTGAGCCCTGAGAGTCACACGTGAATTCGGTAAGTGGCAGCTGCCGGTAATATTGTTGGAAGTATTGTAGAAGGAATAACTGACAGTGTGGCATACATTTATTATGGCGTCACTTGAAATAAGTGTGGGCTTCACTTCCTTGTTTACTGTGGAATTGATGTGACGTATGACGTGACTAATTTTGTAAGCTTTATGCCCATTCGTTTTTTATTCCTCCATCCAGAGGAGGCCTCTGTCCTTAGGAAGGTATAATTTGAACTTCTTGAGGGCAAAACTTACTGGCTTACATATTTTTTGGATCAGTGAATGAATGTTAACAATACATGCTGCAGTTGAGTATCTCTTTTTTTGACATACATAGGACCAGAAGTGTTTCAGATTTGTTTTTGGCTTTTTGGAAACTTTGCATAAACTAGCGATTGAGCATTCCTAATCTGAAAGTCAGAAATCCCAATTGTACTTGAATTTTGGAGCATTTTGGACTATGCATGTTTTGGATTAAGTATGCCCAATCCCTGTCAGCTGGTGTGGCTTTTGAAGTCCCGTTTAAATATTGTGTTAGAAAACGGCCCGGAATCCTGTGATAGCGGCGCTTGTGCTTCCCATTTTACAGTAGGCCCACAGAGGCTGTGCGATTTTTCCCGACAATTGGTTAGTAATCGCCACTGATGGGTTTCGAACTTACATGCTGTGATGTCCGCCCTTCACTAACACTCTTCCTCTCTGAGGACTTTTACTTGGGTTTTACAACTAACTGATAAGAAATGCATTCTAGTTAGGTGTCTTAGACTCACTTTTTGCTTGTAGAAAACTGTCTTTCCCTCTTCATTTAAGGAGAGAAAAGCTTTTGTAAGTCCTGTGTCATGATTACCGCTTTTGAATTAATAACATGAGGTATTAAATGTGTTACCTTTATTACACATGTAATAAATCATGTAAGAAAGAAGTGTTTACTAATCCTGTGTGTCACATTTAGATGGTTATGGAGACTGGCAATACCAAGAACTCCGCACTGATGGCTAAGAAAGCCCCTACGATGCCCAAACCCCAGTGGCACCCACCGTGGAAACTCTACAGGGTGAGTGGGTCTGCGTCTCATGCCCTGTGTAAGACACCGCTTCCCGCTTGGCAGGGGCTGTGGGCGGAGCGGAGGAAGAGGGGTGCGCGCCAGAGCCAGAGCGCGAGCCCAGTGGGGCGCCCACGCCGTGGGAGAGGTGCCTGCATGAGGGTTTCTTGTTAAAAGCTGTCCTGGTGTTTTTTGTGAGATGCGGAGTAAAACATCAGTAGAAGGCTAGTAAATGTGGAGGGAGACAGAATGAATTTAGAAAAGTGAAGCACTTAATGTGAAAGCTAAGGAGAATACACCTTATAAAGAAATCACTGTGGATCTTCCAATTCGTTCAACTTCAGAAGATGAAAGTAATTCAAAATGGTCAAATCTGAAATAAAAAAAATATATGCAGTAGGAAATGCACGACTGACATAAGCTTACTTTTCAAACGATTGGGTGGTAAGAGACCTCTTCTATTATAGGTCTAGCAGATTTTAATAGATGTGAAATTGTGTAACACTCCCGTAATCGGTGTATCACCTCACGGAACAGCCTTGCTATTCTTGTAGTTCTACCCCCACCGCCCCCGGCAACCACTGACCTGTCTGTGTCTTTTCAACTATGTCATACAATTGAAAGTATATAATCTGTTCTCGGCACAGACTTCCTGTACTCAACTTAAGCTTTTGAGATTTCTGTAAGTTGCTAGGTTCCTAGCGCATTTCTTCTTCCTGCTGAGCGTTCCGTTGCATGGGTGTGCCACCATTTGTGCGTCTGCTCACCCTTGAAGATGTTGTTTCTCACTCAGACCTACAAGTCGCATCTTCCCGATGTGGGATTTGAGGATTGGGGAGGGGCAGTTAAGACTGAGTGCATCCCGACGGGCGCGTGGGTGAGCCTGCTGCCGCCTTCCCCCCCTGCAGGTGATCAGTGGGCATCTCGGCTGGGTGCGATGCATCGCTGTGGAGCCTGGGAACCAGTGGTTCGTTACCGGGTCTGCTGACCGAACTATAAAGGTGAGAGGGAAAGAAAAAAATGTACATGACTTTGTGTTTGTTTAGTCTGTTTTTAAGTTATTTCCTATGGCAGGAATTGTTATTTCAAGTCCTTGGTGTTGTTTTTGTTACTTGAGAAAAGTACTTTTTGCTTATTGTCCTAGTGAGGTTTCCAAAATGTCTGTTTGAAAAGTAGTGTTTAAGTGATAGCTTTTTTCTCAACATACTACCTGCTTGATGCTAAAGGGTTTTTTCCTCCTGATTACAAAGTTAAGGTATCATTGTCTGTAGAAATAGACAGCTATCAGAGAACCTAGCTCCATACATAGTCACAACCTCGGTTGGATATTTAGGTGAATTTTATTTCAGTATTCCTGTGTGTACACATTTACCGATGCTTTTACTTCTCAGCTGTTTCCCTGTGTGTGTAAATGTGTAGCTTAAAAGTTACACTTGATAGGTAATTTTGTATCTTGCCTTTTTCAGCTTAACATTTTGTCGAGCGTATTCTTGTGAAAGTTTAATACGTTTTTAAGACATTACATAATGTACAATTCAGATATTCTATATTGTTTTTCTGTTGTTGGACATCAAAGTTGTAGTTCTTTGATGTTCATTTTTACACATACTGCCATAATTAAGTCTCTGTGTGTGCAGTTCTTTGTGTATTTCTGTAGGGTAGACTCCGAGAAATAGAAGTGTTGGGTCAAATATTTTTGAGACTGCTATCCACAGTACAAGTTAGTTTCCAAGGTCAGTGAATTGATAGCTGCAGTACATTTGAGAAGGTCTATTCAGCATATTGTGTATCCCTTCAAAAATAACTACTAGTGTGGCAAGCAAAAATAGATATTTAATCTTTTTAAAGCGTTCATAGGGCCGGGGACGTAGCTCAGTGGCGCAGGTGCCTGCCTGGCAAGCACAAGATCCTGAGTTCAGTTCCCAGTACCAAAAAGAAAAAAAAAGTCCATGTGGAACTTCTAGAGAGATGGGACTTTCTCATAGCTTCGTCTTTTCAGGTGTTTGTAATCGCGCTATTCCTGCAGAGTATTATCGCTGATACCCTTTGCAGGTTAGAAGTACCGACCTCGCCAGCATTGTGAATTCCTTCCCGGTTTGACTTCGCCTTTGTGTGCTTCGGTTGCAGATCTGGGACTTGGCGAGTGGCAAGCTGAAGCTGTCGCTGACGGGGCATATCAGCACAGTGCGGGGCGTGATAGTGAGCTCGAGGAGCCCGTACCTGTTCTCGTGCGGAGAGGACAAACAAGTCAAGTGCTGGGATCTTGAGTATAATAAGGTGAGCCTGGATCAGGACTTCACACGTCAGGTGCCGTTGATTTCTCGTTCTGAGTTTAGAAATTTAATTTTTCTGCTTTGCCTTCAGGTCATACGGCACTATCACGGGCATCTAAGTGCAGTGTACGGTCTGGACTTGCACCCGACCATTGACGTGCTGGTGACGTGTAGTCGGGATTCCACCGCGCGGGTAGGCAGATAAATGCGGGAGGGTGCGTGTGTCTGTGCACGCGTTGCAGCTCGGGATCCACGTGTTCCGCCCTGGAGTCTTACATTCATTGGCAGAAGAAAAGCTGCCTGACCCCGCGTTCCCTGCTCCCTCCGCTTCTGGCTTACGTATTTTCCCACCGTCGTTTTTAGTTCTGTGGCCTCACTGTGCTTATCATTGTCACTGCCTTGCCCTTGAAGTGTGACCTGCTCACGTTCCCTTCTGTTACACCTGCTGTCCGTGAGCTCTGTGATTCACTCGTCCTGTTAGGTCCGTGAACCCGCGGGGCTCCCCTGCTCCCCTCGCCCCCTCCGCCGGCAGCTGTCCCTGTCTGCACCCCACTGCAGCTTAGCGGTCGCTGTGCTTGGTGTGAGCACTTTCTTCACCATATTTAGGCGCAGTTCCTAGTAAATTTCCAGCCTTAAATTGATCCAGGTGTGTGCCTGAGACAGGATGCCTGATCTTTTTGACAATGTGCCTGTTGTATGTTATAGATTTGGGATGTGAGAACGAAAGCCAGTGTACACACATTATCTGGACATACGAATGCAGTTGCTACAGTGAGATGTCAAGCTGCGGAACCACAGATTATTACCGGTATGCTGGGTACTTTCAAATCTGCCAGCTGTCCATTTCATATGAGAATTGTACATAAACTTTTTGTATTCACTGTAGCTGTTTCTGTTGTATTTAGAATGTTTCTGTGTCGTATATTTCAATCAAGAGCATTTAAAATTTGTTGTAAGAGTTCACCCACTTGTTTTTACCTTAATACTTTTTACAGTTAGACTGTGTCGTACACAGCACAGGGGTACCTCAGTTCGTGAATTTAATTTGTTCCATGATTCCGGGGAAAATGGCCATGATTGTGTTTGTCACCCAATTCAGAGTTCATGGGCAGAAACAAAACTTTGCCTAACACTTCAAACAAAAGCACTCACGAGCCAAGGTAGCACTGTATCTTGTCGTGAATGGCTGGAAAACTGCCGTTACATACAACTAAGCGTTACAGTGTGAACATATTAGTCTAGGAGGTGGAGGTTAGAGGACAAAGTGTTCGGGGACCGATAACCTTTACAATTGATGGAAACCTTATGTTTAATAATAGTGGATCTTAAATAATGGAAAATAATTGTTGTCTTTGGTGTATTTTAACTGAAAAAATTACTGGTGTAATTTCACCTTTTTCACTGGTGAGTAAAATCATGTGCTGTGCAGTTAACAAGCATTTCATTTCATCTCTAAGGAGTTAAATTTCACCTGGAATGTTCAAAGCACAGCGACTTTAGTGAAGAGATGATAAGATTTCGATTTATCATTTATGTTTATAGAAGAATGGCTCTTGTTTTACTTTATTCAACTTCTGCATTGTGTTTCCTGGTCTGTGTTCAGAAATGTGTGTATATTTTCATTACAGGAAGCCATGACACTACCATACGATTATGGGATCTGGTGGCCGGAAAAACAAGGGTGACATTAACAAATCACAAAAAGTCAGTCAGGGCTGTGGTTTTACACCCCCGACAGTAAGTGTGTCCTCCCGGTGGGCTCCTCTTCTTTCTTCATGTGTTAGCGCAGCACTGAAATACCAGTGTTAGTCCTGCCTTTGTCAGTCACTGATCAGCTGTCATCTCCAGGCCTGTGCCGTGTATGCACGTGCATTTCTGTAGTTTTCTCCTTGTTGCTGTTCTGCTTCCTACCCTGCATAAGATGGGGAAAGCCTTCTATGTAGTGATAAACAAGACAATACAAATAAATCATGGTCAGAAGCTGCATGTCAAATAGAAGGCAACAGTGGCTAGATGTTTGGAGCATAATGGCATTAGACACTAAGACATACGGAGAAAAAATCAGTTTTTAGGAGGGGGTTAATATCCACAGAGACTAAGAACCATTACCGTCGTAGTCAGATGCCCAAAGGAGTAGAAGATAGTACAGCCCTGCGCTTTGTCACATCCTGTCATCTCCGGGACTTTCTGGTTGTACAATATTCATCTCCTCCTTTTTCCTCCTTCGTTTCCTTTGTCTTTCTTCTTCTTGCCCTGTCTTTCGTTCTCAGCCTTTCTGCAGAACTGACACATAATACTTTGTGTTCGTGTGAAGTTAGGTATTTGCACATTCGTTGTACTCACTGTAGAGCACGGGGAAAATGTGAATAAAACATTACTGTCAATTTAAGACAGTGGACACTTGACGTAGGAACTCACCTCATCCCGAGGGCTGGCTGCCACCCACTGTCCATTGAAGGCTCGGGCTCCTTGACACACCCTTCAAAGTCTCCTTTACACAGGCGGATCTCAGTTCCTTAGAGAGACACCGCCCAGGATCTCTCATTAACCCCCTACAGGAGGGATGTTGTAGTGTTCCCTGCAGAGCTCCTTAAGGGTGAATCTGTATCTGAGACAGCAGAAGCACGTGCAGCGGGCTTTTGGGTCATAACTCAAGACTTCGGTCATGAGATAAAACTAAACTTCGGGTTAAAACCCAAGTTGTTTGGATGTCAGGGCGGTCATGACTTGAGGGTCCACTGTCCATTTTAAAAATTTTGAAAGTTGTATTCAATGTGGAACAAATGTTTTGATATTTTTGTATCTTGTATGACTAGAACTTGCTAAAACTACATAGAACATGGTGTAGATAAGAAAAACGCAGTGATAAACTTTTTAATCCCCCATTTTGTGTACCTTGATGCGCGTTGCCATGAAAGCTTCTTAATCTTCTTTCAGTTACACGTTTGCGTCCGGTTCTCCAGATAACATAAAACAGTGGAAATTCCCCGATGGAAGCTTCATTCAGAACCTGTCTGGCCACAATGCCATCATCAACACACTGACAGTGAACTCCGATGGCGTGCTTGTGTCTGGAGGTAATGTGAGATGTCTGTAGTGGGCAAATGCTTAAACTTATGTAGCGGTTTTCGTTTGTGTGACATGAATGAGTGGACATCTGTACCGCCTCTGAGGCGTCACCGTAAGTGTCCCAGCAGGACTTGGCTGATTTGAATGTTCGTGCATCTTCAGGACACAAGCATTTCAGCTCATATTTTATGGTTTAGCCCCTTTTGAGTTCCCACGTGATAAATCTTAAGGTAGGGGTTTATACTGGGAATTGCCTACATTTTGGATGATAGTCTAGAATTTTGTGGTGCTTTTTTAAAAATCTCTTTAGAATCCTGAAATAAGTGCAAATCAAAATACATGGACCATTATTTCTTTTTGTTTGATTTTTGGTCTTTTTGAGATAGAATCTTTCTTTGTATTCCAAACTGGTCTGGAACTTGCTATATAGGACAGACCTTGAACTTATGATCCTCCCTGCCTCAGCCTCCAAGAGCTGGGATTACAGGCGTGCATCACCACACCCAGGACAAAGGAATGTGAAGAGGAGTTTGAGGCCTGTCTTACATGTCTGTACAGCTGTAGTCACTAGCAGGACATTTAGGCTGAGGGTTTGCACTGTGTGTTTGTCTGGCTGAGCTGTTGAAGAATACCAGGTGAAACTAGGCTTTCCCTTTCAGCTGACAATGGCACTATGCATCTTTGGGATTGGAGAACTGGCTACAATTTTCAGAGAGTTCATGCAGCTGTGCAGCCTGGGTCTTTGGACAGTGAATCGGGAATATTTGCTTGTGCTTTTGACCAGTCCGAAAGTCGATTGCTAACAGCTGAGGCCGATAAGACCATCAAGGTGTACAGAGAGGACGATAGCGCGGTAAGTTCATTGTCTGCACGCCCGCGTACAGTGAGACGGTCGCACTAGTTGGGTCTCCTCGGTTACAGTGTTACCGTGTTTGTCGACTGGAGTAGTCTCTGCTCCTCGGTTTCTGTGCTGGATGCCTCGGTGCCAGTGACCCCATCCGCACTTCTGTTTTATGACTTTCCTTATACCTACTGAGAAGGTGATACGCATTTAATGAATGATAGATTGCCTTGCAGATTAGTTGTAGAATCAGCCTTTGGTACTGCCATATTATCTGAACAGAAATTTTATTATAGATGAGAAAGTATAAACTGAACTTGTAGTGAACACATTTGTCTTTAGCTCGATACGAATAACGTCAGTTTGTCGCCTACTCTTAAAATCATTAAAGACCTGCTAGCAGCAGTGCCAAGTTACAAGATTTAGAGCGCTGCCTGTGTTCAGAGGAGTTGTGTTACGTACGAAGCAAACTGATAATACTTTAATTTGCTTTGCTGTTTTTAGACAGAAGAAACCCACCCAGTCAGCTGGAAGCCAGAAATTATCAAAAGGAAGAGATTTTAGTGTGGCATTGACTTCATGGTGGCTCCCCTTTTTGTAAGCTTGCCATTGACGAGGAAATCCAGTCATTCGGGCTGTGGCTGGGAACACAGAGGAGAAACTCACTTGCTGGAACTGTTGCTGCTTCATGTTTTACAATAAACTGCCCCTGGGCCCTCCCCCATCCCGTGTTTTTTTATTTCTAAAATAAACAATTTGTGACCTAGAAAGTATGATGCAAATGTCAGGTGTATGCAGGGTCACTGAACATGACTCTTCTAAAGTCAGTATTTTGAGTTTCATTAGAAAATCCCCCTTTAAAAATGTGCAAAACTATTATCAGGACACATTTTGAGGGGAGCAGATGTTTTTACCATTCTTTAAAAACTAGTATCTGTGACCGATAGTTTGGGATTAAAAGATTTGAAGTCTTAATTTAGCTTACGTATATTTATTCTAGAAAGAGACCCCGGGTGCGTGTCCCGCAAAGCCCTGCACGAGGCACTGGTCAGGGAAAGGGCAGTAAGATGTGTGTTCCTTCGCTGCTGCCAGTTAAGGGAGCTGATTGTGGAACTGTCAGCGGGGTTCAGGCGTGTGCATCCTGCCTTTGGGATCCAGGACCTCCATCAGTCAGGGTTCGTCACACTTTACTTGCAGTCAGCACCATTATAAGAATAATCAGTCCCTTCAAATCTCCAAGTTAAATTGCAACATGATTTTGAACACACCATTCAAATTATACGTACCCCATCCTTCATGGTATGTATGGGAGTGTACCTGTTAACATCTTCTAGGAGTGTAGTTTTCCAGGACTTGTTGAAAATTCTAGGATACTCTAGTCTACTAACTTCATTTAGGAAACTGCCAAAAGGAATGATCTGATAAGTGTACACCAGCAAGGTGACGTTTTTTCCTTAATGTGTAAAACTGACCCACACGTTCCATTAGTAAGGGGCCAGTCTAATAGATTACGCACCTTTAATTTATTTTTCTGCATATTCATTAAGAGTGAGGAACACTGACTACTGGGGAAAGTTGCCTAAAATCTCCTCATAGAGAAATTGTGTATGCATTTTGAAAAATAACACATGCCCTAAAACGTGATGGAGAACTACACCTAATTGTTAACAGTGGCTTTGTGAGGGAGAGAATTTATCTGCTTTATATATTTCTATACTGTTTTCTATAAGCCTGTATTTTGTATAGCTAAAATCACTAGCATTCCTGGGAGAGTGTATTATGCCTTCTAACAGAAGACAGAGGTGGATAATCCAATCCCAAAGACCAAGAAGAAATTCCTAATGCAAAGAGGTGAGAAAGATAATCTCTACTATCTTATCTAAAAAAGCTACTGTGTGTTTATGTCCGAGAAAAGTATCAGTTCTGGAGGTTTTTTTAAACTGCTTAATGCTGGTCCTGTATTGAGAGGTCCAATCAAAATACACAGTGAATGTCTACAAAAGTTACAGTAAGACACATTGCCATTAACCTAAGTTTATCCCCTTGCCTCACACATGAATTCCACTGTCCTGTCACTTTCTGAGCAGTAGGAGCGGTGAGGCAGTGTGGGGACTCAGTGGTCCCCAGGAGAAAATCGCGAGGAGATTTAGAAAATAAAAGACAAAAGCTGGGGTCAGGTGGAGGCCTTTTCACTGATGCGCAAGAGGACTCAAGCAGTAGGGGCGTAATTCATACCCTTGCAGAGTTAGTATCAGGAGAGGCAATGTTGCCTAGAGACTAACGACCGTGCTTGTCCAGGCAGGATGCTCTTCTGCACCGAGGCAGCCTGACTGCCTGAGGCCTTGGCTGCGTCCTGCCCTCGCACGGTGACCGGTTTCCAGCTTCCGCTGCTCACATCTCTCCCTTGTCTATTTGGTTACAAAGTGCTGGGTGTTTAGTGGCAGTTGGAGAAGCTGTGTTTGGAGAACTCTAGAAGACCTTTTCGTTTTTGATGGATTTACTCGTTTAAAGATTTTTAGTCCAAAGATTTTAGGTACCTGTATACCTCCGTTTAACCCTATATAGTCCAACAGCCCGTAATAGTAGTGAGTGACCAGTACAGCTGGCAGTTCTCAGAAGCTGTTAGTGGTTTGAACCTTTCACAGCATGTTATGATGGCATTGTTTTTTACATCTCCTGGTTATACTTTCCTGCTGGATGTTTAAGACCAAGGTCAAGTGAGCCCTGTGTTAATAAAAACCAACTCTTTGCTGTCCACCCAGGTCAGTTCAGTCTCCACAGGAATCTCCTTGAAATTGAGTGCAGCACCTCTTAGAGCTTCTGTCAGTGTCGGCCGCCTGGATGAGTCACCGCCATTGTTTGACCAAGCTGCTTTCTTTGAAAGCTTGAGATACATTTTCTGTCCTGGTGACTCTCCTTAGGCACACTATACATTGTGCAGTCACTTTCCTTTGTGCTCCCATAATCTTGATCCCTTTGGTGGTTTAAAATTAACAATGTGATACTCATCCCGAAATGAATAACAGCTTGCAATGCTGTTTGTCTGTCATTACAAGTCAGTGTTTGAAGATTAACGTCACAGCTTTCTAGCCTAGTGTATAGGTCTGAGTAAATCCTCTAAAGACATCAATGTACTTATCAGGGTCGTCTGAAAATTTTCCTGGTTCTAGCTGTTCTGCTTTAAGTTACTGAGAGAAAGACATGAACATAGGTAGTCTCGTGTGGATCATAATTATACCTTGAGTGTAAATATGAATTATTTCTTAATGTAAATAAGGTTTAAACATAACACAGTTCTGACCATTTTTCCTCCTTTTTACATTATGATTTTAGTTGTAAAAGAACATCATAATTAGTACTTCCCTCTGCATTCCATTTTGGCTCTAGGGGTTAGGCCACACGTACATGCAGAAAAATATTAAACGGCTCTCAATGTGTAAGGGTCAAACAGTTTCCAATGCTTAATGACACTCTCTAAAGGAGTAAGAGACTTCAACTGAATATCCCATGTCTAAAATACAAAAACAAACAGTGTGGGCATCCTCTCCTTATCTCTAATTGATCTTTATACCCTCAAGGTGTCCCTCGAGTAGATTCCACTCCAGAGCAGGTGGATGCCGTCCAGAGAGAGGAGAAGACAAAATCCTCTAGAGACATCAATGTACTATCAATGTACATCAATGTGCACCAGCCTGTCTTCCCTGGAACTGGGGCACATTTTTATCTTCCCAGGATGCTCGTGAGCTGTGCACTTGCTCCTACTGGACACTTATAGGCATAAGTTACAATTGGCCTGGTGACAGGAGCATCTAAAGAAAGAAGCATAAGTATGTAATAAACTTTTTATTTTTTGGAAGAGGGCATGTATAAAAAGGTGAATTGGATGTAGAGCACTTTTCCTGCTGTGCTGTGAAAGAGATCACCTCTGGAGATAGATACAAGGGACAATTGACCTGAGGAATTCCACCCTGGGCCCAAAGGCAAAGAAACCTCCAGGATACTTGTGTCATCTGTCTAATCACCAAGGCAACTTTCCCTACCAGCCGGACAAGGCCATGTTTTATTTAAATTTTTGAAGCTCACAGGTTAAATGTCATCTAGCAGTCACATTGTACGTGTGGGTAAAGGCACATTAGTTAAGGCTGACTAGAATCTCTTCCCTACTCTTAGCATATATAAGGCACAAGTGTAACTCATTCCCTGCTAGCTGCTGTGAAATATAAATCGTTGCAAGCTGCCTTAGCGTAGTTTCTGAAGGGAGGGACAGCTGGTGGGTCAGCTGGAAAGCTCAGGGAGAATTTCCAGTTTACTAGCAGAGAGAGATAAGTGTGATAGATAAGTGGAGATTTTTCAGTGGTCAGGAGCCAGTTTCCACTGAAGAACTTCTGGGTATCTGCCAAGAAGTAGCCTTGGCCATGACCCCTCAGTTGTTCTCAGGCTCTGTTGGCCCACACAACCAGAGATCAGTCTCCAGAGAGGAGTCCAGCTGTCTCTCTGGTCAACATTCTGTCAGCCATTGGCTTCGGTGGGGATTCACCAAAGAGATGCTGGGGAAACCTTTCCTCTGCTTCAAAGAGTGGCAGCTGCTCTAAGAGCGTGTAGCTGGCAGAGTGACCACTGTTTGTCAGCGTTCTACAAGGCAGAGTTAAAAGCCTAAACAAGATCACCTAGCACTTTATAAGTTTACAGTAAAAGTTTTACAGTCCAAAACTTATTATCAAAGTATTTTTTCTGTATAGTAAATGATAGCCAGACCTAGGAGAAGAGGAAAGGTTGGAGATTCTCCCTTAGACTAAATGTGCCTTGGTCCTGCAAGTGTGCTGTTTTTGGAGGTAGCTCCTTCTGATGTCACCCAGAAGTCGGTGCTCTCCACTATGTCTGAGGTTCAGTCTGCCAAGGGAAACCTGCCCAGAACACTAACCGGGGACATGGCTTTTATCTGTGTCCTGGATGGGCAAAATTCCGATGTCTCATCTGAACCAGAGAAGGGGTATGTGTTCCTCCTCTAAGCTGACTTCCCTGTCTTTGGCATTAGCAACCGCTCATTTTCTATGGACTTAACTTAGTTGAAAGAGTCTAGAGTTCTTTTCTAATTTTACATGCCTCTATAAAGGAAAGTACAAAGTGGTAGAAAAAGATTAAGAGTGAGGCCAGAGAAAGGAAAGAAGCCGAACAGGCTTGACATTTCCTCTAGAGTGTAAAGGAAGATCACAGCCAGTCTGTCCCACTGAAATCTGACCTCCAAGTCTTAAGAACGGCCACCGACCTAATGTCTTTTTTAAATGGTGAAGAGAGCCCTGTGTTGTATTATATAGGCATGTATATTTTCTAAGTCTGAGCTACATTTTAAAAGAACCATTTTACAGAAGTTTATATTAAAGTCCACTAGAGGGCGCTCTAACATTACTCCCTCGCGCTATTGTCTATAGTCAAGCAAGGAATACCAGTACATTTAGTAACTAGTTCAAATGCAACATATACAAGAACAAAATAGGAATAAAGTGTCCCACTCAAAAAATATCATAACCTTATAACCTTCCCAAGTTTTAACTTAAGATTTATCAACATTATGACAAAACTATAGAAGAGACAAAGCATAAGCAATTATAAGCAATAGGAAAGACATGTCAAAATTTGAATCACAAAAATTTGTTACCTAAAGAAGTCCCAGTTGCCTTATTCTCCTCCCTTCTTAAATTCTTTACCCCCAGAATTAACCCCTTCCTGGCTCCTGCACTGTTTAATTTTCTCCTTTATACCATCGGCATAC